GGGGCTCAATCCCAGGACCCTGGGATCATGACCTGAGCCGAAGGCAGACGCTTAACGACTGAGCCACCCAGGTGCCCCATGGTCCTCCCTTTTTAATTGGGACGCCTGGGTGGTTCAATCAGTTAAGTGTCTGCCGTCAGCTCAGGACATGATCTTGGGGTCCTGATCAAGCCCAGTGGTAGGTTCCCTGCTCAGTGGGGAGTCTGCTTCTCTGCCCCCCGCCACTCATGCTGTCTTTCTCTCTCTCAAATAAATAAATAAAATCTTAAAAAAAAAAAGGAATACCAAATTTGCCTTCTTCTCAGCTGATGTCAAACAATATAGATTTTATGTTGTATCTTTCTTCAAGATACAAGCATTCTTGGGAAAAGGTCTTGTATTTTCTTCATTTCCACCTTTGGTGATACTATGGTCACACACACACACACACACACACACCCCAGTCTAAATATTGTACGTGCATCAACTGAGTGTTGGCTAAAGGATTAGTTACAGACTTTTTACTGCAGCCACAGGTAGTATTCTAAAGTACAAGATTATATCATATATAATTCTGCCCTAGTGTACCTCTCTAACCACATTTCCTGATATTTTATATCACACTATTTACACCAATAACATGCAGTTGTCTATTACACCAATAACATGACTAAATATACCAAGTGGTTTCAAACTTCTAAGCCTACACATGTGGGTGTTCCCTTTTCTTAGAACTCTGTGCCTACCCTAGTATATTTTCATTTATCTTTTCCAAAACTCAGCTCAAAAGTAATGCCACCAGAAAATTCTCTGCCTCACCCAAACATCAACAAGAGTTAATTCTCTTTCCTGAATATTACTCCCTTCTTGGTCTCGTATATAAATGTTTATTTTGTTTTACTTACATTGTACTATACATTTGTTTACTATCTGTCTTCTTTAATTAGACTGAAAGCTCCTTGAAGGTATACACCTAGTCTTAATCATTTCTGTATCACTGAGTACAATTCTTGGCATATAAACAGGCTGTAAATGCTTATTATTAACTGATAAAGAATTACACTCAGATCTGATTGGAGAATTATGGCAACATGCAGTTTTTTTAAAAACAATAAACATTGGGATGCCTGGGTGGCTCAGCTGGTTAAGCATCTGCCTTCAGCTCAGGTCATAATCCCAGGGTCCTGTGATCGAGCCCTGCATTGGGCTCCTTCCTCAGCAGGGAGTCTGCTTCTCCCTCTGCCTGCTGCTTCCCCTGCTTGTGTTCTCTCTCTCTCTGACAAATAAAATCTTAAAAAAATAAACATTTTTGATGTAAAATATCTCATTAATGAAATAGTAAAATCATATAATTTTTTCGCAAATTTGGAATAATTTTACACTAAATTATGCATAGAGCCTAGTTAATTTTCACCCAACTTTCAGATTTTATTTATGTTTACATTCTTTGTCTCATTTAACTTGAACATCACCGTGATGTACATCCTCACTGACTGCTGTTTGGCTGGGTGATTTTTAACTGAATGTGCTAACAGAATATAAATGGACTGAACTGGGTAAGCATAGAGAGTTAGTTATCTAGAGTCCCCTGGATTGTATTTGCTGAGAGAGGAACTACAAAGATCAATCTGATACTTTTGAATAAAGTAAGTGAGGACCAACATCAGGGAATCCAGGCTAATGCCTCAAGTGTGATTTTTAACATCTTTTCATTATTACCAAAATACTAAATTTTAAACAAATTTGGTCTCATAAGATTAACATTCCGGAAAGTTTAATATACATGGATTTATTAGTATTGATCACAATAATAATTTGACTCTTTGACTCTATTTCCCTAATATATTTATTTTGCTGTCATTAACATAAACAAACACACAGACTCAACTCTTGATGTCTCCTATGCATTTTAATCTTTTCAAACTTTAAAATGGGATGAAGAGAATACTAAAGATCAAAGTCAGGTAAAATTAATCTTCATGGTGATTTTTATAAATGTAGCACTTACCAGAAACTGAAAAAGTTCATTTGTATTCATTGTAAAAAGTGTTTTGGCCATAATTTTGTTTAAAACAGTTCTTGTACCCAACAAAACAATAAGACTTAAGAACCAGAATTTTCTATTGCTAGCACTGACTCTTTTAGTATCATAATAATTGCTTTCTGCAAGTTATTTTTCTTTGCTCTGCAATTCAAAAAGATCAGTCCTTTATCCCAAAGACATTCATCTATTGGACATTCACAAAAGACCCCCATAAATAACAGTACTTGGAAGTAATGGATTATATGAGAACATTGTTTTGAACTACTTCAGTGCACAAAGAAATTTTTTAGTATGCAGGGTTGAATTTACATTATGGATCAGTCGATAAATATTTGCCTTCTTTAGCTACAAATACTCCATAGGTGATGCCATCTAATCCAATGGTTTTAATTACTACCCATATGGTGATGATAACCAAATCTCCAGCCCTGAATTCTTATACCCAATCCAGACTTATTTCCCAACTGTCTATTCAACATCTGCCACTTGGATGCCTAATAGAAAACTTAACATCCAAAACACTACCTCCCACCCCTGCCCCAAATCTTTTTGCCCCTTCATTCAGTCTTCACTGTCTTAGTACAAGATCGCTATATTTTACCAGAGGCTCACACCCAAAATTTAGAAGGCATTCTTAATTACTCCTCTTTTTCTTCATAATCCACATCTACTCAACCCATCAGCAAATTCTTCCAAATACATCCATAATCATCACTTCCTGTGACCACATCCTCATGTGGGTCTCACCACCAGCTCTCATCTGGACTATGCCAAGATTGTCCACTTATGCCTACAGTTTATTCTTAACATAGCAACAAGAGTGATTCCATTGAGACATAAATCTATCATTTTACTCCTTTACTCAAAATCCTCTAATAGCTTCCCATCAGCTGGATCCTAACCCCTTCTCTGACTCTTATCATTTATGGCTTTCCTACTTTTTACACTACAATGACATAGACTCATTTCTGATATTTCAACACATTAAGCATACTTCCACTTTAGGGACTTTGCACCTCCTGTTCCTCCTGTTCTTTCTAACTAGATCATTATTCTACCACATGTACACATAACTTATATCCTCACATACTTCAAGCCTCTGCTCAAATGCCATATTGAAAAGCTCCTTTCACTTTCCTCATCTGAAATAGCACTGCTCCCATTTCAGTCACTCAATCCCCTTACCAAGAGCTAAAGAAAAAACACTAGCTTCAATAAATGTTAGAGAACAGTGAAGCTAATGCTAATTCTTCAGCAAAAAGTATAAAATAATCTGCTAATTAATTATAATAGAAGCAACCAAAGCCACACTTCCATGTATTCCTCCATCACAATATTCATCACATTTTATGCTATTACCTATGAAATTATATCTTACGTACCAGATAAGAGCAATGATCAGTTTATTACAATGCAATTACCTAGCATCTGATAATTACAGCTAACATTTCTTGAGCACTTAATATGTACCTTTCTAATATATACCTTAATATGTACACATCTCTAGGGGCTTTAAATGTATACAAGAAAAAGATACAGAGAGGGTAAGTTACTTGCCCAGGGTTATAGAGATAGTAAGTGATAGAGCCAGGACTCAACACCAGCTCCAGACCTTGTATCCTTAATCATTATGCTATTCTACACTTTAGTTGGCTAATGATATACAGTGCCGGAGGAGAGGGCTTAATGTAATTAGAGAAAGACTGAGGAGGTAAATTTGACCTGAAAACTGACTGATGTAGATTCAACTAAGTGACTATCTCAGTGAAGAGTGCTCCAGGCCTAAGAAATAGAAATGGACTAAGACAGGAATTAACTGGGGAGAGGGGAAACGGTCAAAGGGCCAGAAAAGCCAGGGGCTAAATAAGCAGAAGAGTATTAGGAAATGAGGTTAAAGAGATGGGGAGAGGTCTGCATGTGGGAAACTGAAGGGCCTTGGTAAGGACTTTGGTTTTATTCCACCAGCAATGGGAAGGATTTAACAATGGAGTGCAGTAACTGCAAGTCTGAGAGTCCTACCCCCATGGTTACTATTGAGGACGCTCAGAATCACTCCTCTTCACCCTGAAGGACCCCATGATCTTTTAGGAGAGAAACAAGGTTTGTTACTGCTCCCAGGGAAACGATAACTGGAATGATGGGACAGGACCACATGACGGTAGCTAAGTTTAAGGCTATTTGATGGCAATGTTGAGCCACAGGTGCAAGAACACCTTTTGTAAAACAGGGTAAGTTAGCAGTAGCTTCAACGTTACGGTTATAAAAGCAAACAAACACTGCTGATGGATCACAGTGTTCAGTGACACTCTGGGATAAACAAGAGAAGAAGAAAATCTACCAGAACCAAGAAGCCAATCACTTAAGCAACTGCTAAACACTTTTAAGGAATGAGGGTGGCTATGGATTGGCCTGTTAAAGCCCTTCCTTAAGACACACTTCACAAATGCATATATTTAGAAAATGGCTTGCAAAAAGCTATCATAGGGAACACAGTAGGCCTAATAAATGGTGTATTTTGATATTTACATGCATAGCACGGGAACTGTATTGGGAAATATATGAGCTTTATTGCCAATTAGTACAATGACTGTGGGAAAGTAACTTAACTTTTAAAGACCCCAGTTTCCTTACTGATAAAATGTGAGACTAGAATGGAATGCAATTCAATTCTTAAATACACGTGCACATATACACCCTGATGATTCTTCACTTAGTAGTGCGAATCCAAAGGTTTGGAAAACAGTTAAATGATTCTGGACTGACTTGGTATCATGCTATGCAATATATATTGAGATATAAATATGAAAATAACATGTTTTAGTGTTTTAACATTTTAATATATGGGTTGACGGATATAATGAAATGGAATCAATATGTAGCAAAAGAGGACAAAAACTAACTGCAGTTTTTGGGCTAGATGCCAACGTTCATGCATACAGATTACCAAGTAACCCTACATTTTGAGGATATATATATATGGAGTATTAGTTAAAAATATAAGAAGCATACAAAACAAACACTGGACTTAATATTAGGAGGCTTGAGTTCTAACTGGCTCTTCAATTAGTCTCTACAATATTCAATTAATCAGTTACTGGAGTTTGTTTTATTCACTACAAAATTATGTAACTAAGTGAGTTTCCAGTTCTTAAATTCGATATATTCATAGTAGGCCATGATTTGGTGGAGTGCCTTTTACCATAACAGTTTGGACATATTAATGGGTAGCCTATGAAAATTATGTTGGCCATCAGTCAGCATTTAATATGATACTTCCATTTTACATATGCAGTTATCACATACCTTTCTTTCAGAGTTTTTAAAATGAAAATACTCATATGTAAGGAGTCAACAGAAATAAATTAGTTGTTTTCTATATTGATTTTACTTTCTAGGAATAACTATTACCAGTGTTTTTTATAGGATTCTATGCTTTGTTCATTTTCATGCTTAGGTCATGATCTTAGGGTCCTGGGATTGAGTCCCACATCAGGCTCTCTGCTCAGCAGGGAGTTTGCTTCTCCTTCTCTCTCAAATAAAGTCTTTTAAAAAAAATTATCTCTAATTGATACTATTTCTTACATGAAACAGGATGTTGAAGGTTTTTTTAAAAAATTACTATTATTTAAACAAATACACCAACCAAAATCAACAACCAAAAAAACACTGAAGATAATAAAACATCAAAAGTTAAAGGGAGCCACATTTGCCTCTTTTTTTTTTTTTTTTAAAGATTTTATTTATTTGAGAGAGAGAGAGAATGAGAGAGCAAGAGAGAGAGAGCATGAGGGGGGGTAGGGTCAGGGGAGAAGCAGACTCCCCGCCAAGCAGGGAGCCTGATGTGGGACTCGATCCTGGGACTCCAGGATCATGACCTGAGCCGAAGGCAGTCGCTTAACCAACTGAGCCACCCAGGCACCCCACATTTACGTCTTTAGAGTATTATTCCACTTTACCTGATGAAGAACTTCCAGAGTAACAGGGTAAAAGAGGTTTTCAATAATTATTCGGAGCACAGGGCTCTGCCCAGGTAGGATTGTGCCTTCATTGGTAGGAGCTCCAGGAAGGGCCAGACTTCCCGACGGGACAGCACTGACAGCCTGCAGTGCAGCTTGGGCTCTCTATAAAACAATCCAAAATGAGAACTTTTAGTTACATTAAAGCATTACATGAATCCTAAAAATCAGTTGATGTAAAATACTATGAAGTAATATAGTTAAATAAAAATATACATATCTACTTTCTCTAGATGCACATATCCTAAATCTGTAATCAGTTAAGATTCAAAAGACTTGCTGTCTTATAACAATGACACAATATTTAAGAAAGTGCTTAAATTTACTTGAAGAAATGAAAAAAAAACCACATGGCAAAAAAAGAGGAAAATCTGGAGATGATTTTTATTTCCTAATTTTTTTTAAAGATTTATTTATTTGAGAGAGAGGGAGAGAGAGAGTGTGCAAATGGGGGTGGGGTGGGGACAGAGGGAGAGCAGAGAGAGAATCCCAAGCAGACTCTGTGCTGAGCACAGAGCTGATGGGGGGCTCCATCCCACAACCCATGAGATCATGACCGGAGCCAAAACAAGAGTTGAACGCTCAACTGACTGAGCCACCAGGAGCCCTTTTATTTCCTAATTTTGAAATGACGTTAAGAAAAAAAAATGTGAAAGTAACATTAAAGATGACTTAAAAACCACTCAAGTCCCTCTTCCTTTTCCCTCCCTAAACAATTGAGTTCTAAAACCTTTGGGTGGCATATGATAGACACAAATATGGAAGAGAGGAGCTATGGTGATTCAGAGGGGGTCAGGAATGTATCCCTATAGGAAGGCATCCTGGCATGAGCATCAGAGCCAGAGCAATGTCAGGAGAACATCTATGTGGTAGGGCTGCCTGGCAAGGGGAACCTGAGCCCAAACAAGGTATGAAAGGCGTCTATGTGTGGGGGTGGCTCACTGCTAGACATAAGAACCTAAGGAATATGAGAAGGGTAAGAAAGACAACCAGAGGAGAATAGCCTGGGCCGGAGTGTCAGAGCCCAAAGAGAGTCAGGAAAAGGTCCACATAGTGTGGACTAATATAGGGAAGACAGTCCAAGCTGAGTGAAGAGCAGGTCCATGAGGGCCTGAATGGGGTAAGGAGGTAATTCAATGGTGGGGCAGCCTGGCATGAGATGTAAGAAAAAGCCCAAGCAGGGGTAGACAGACAAGCTTTTTTTTTTTTTAGCAAGACAACATTTACTTATAATTAAATATTTATGGAACACTATGTGCAGGCATCATTCTAAGTACTCACTATACAAATATCGCTTTAATTCTCACAACAAGGGCGCCTAGGTGGCTCAGTCGTTAAGCGTCTGCCTTCGGCTCAGGTCATGATCCCAGGGTCCTGGGATCGAGCCCCGCATCCGGCTCCCTGCTCAGCCAGGAGCCTGCTTCTCCCTCTCCCACTCCCCCCTGCTTGTGTTCCCTCTCTAGCTGTCTCCCTCTGTGTCTAATAAATAAATAAATCTTTAAAAAAAAAATTCTCACAATTTATGAGGTATGCACTATTTTTTTTTTTTTTAAGATTTATTTATTTGAGAGAGAGAGAGAGAAAGTAGGAGCAGGGGGATGGGCAGAGGGAGAGGGAGAAGCAGACTCCTCGATGAGCAGGGAGCCTGATGCGGGGCTCCATCCCAGGACCCCAAGATCATGACCTGAGTCCAAGTCAGGCAATTAACTGACTGAGCCACCCAGGCACCCCAAGGTATGTATTATTATTATCCCCATTTTTAGATGAGAAAACAGTCTGAGATAAGTTAAATGATTTGTCTGGAGCCACAGAGAAGACTGTAAACAGTAGCACTTGAACACAATGTACTTAACGAAAATCTGAAAATGTCTCAGACACAATTCTAAACCCCAGTTCCGTCAGACTCCTGGAAAGGGCTACTTTTTCTTTCTTTAAAAGATTTTATTTATTTATCTGACAGAGAGAGAAACAGCACAAGCAGGGGGAGCGGCAGGCAGAGGGAGAAGCAGGCTCTCCGCTGAGCTGAGAGCCTGACATGGGGCTTGATCCCAGGACCCTGGGATCATGACCTGAGCCGAAGGCAGACCCTTAACTGACTGAAGCACCCACGCGCCCCAGGTCTACTCTTTTAATTTTTATTATTTTTGTTGTTGTTCAAGTATAATTGACATACAATATTATACTAGTTTCAGGTATACATAGTGATTTGACAATTCTATATATTACTCAAGGCTTACCACAAGTGTAGTCACCATCTGCCACCATACAACACTAGTATAATATTATTGACTGTACTCCCTATACTGTACTTTTCATCTACATGACTTATTTATTTTATAACTGGGAGTTTTGTACTTCTTAATCCCCTTGACCTACTTTGCCAGCCCCCCCATCTACGCCCCCTGGGGCAACCACTAGTTTGTTCTCTATATTTAAGAGTCTGTTTTTTGTTTTTCATTTGTCTTATTTTTTAGAGTCCACATATAAGTAAATCATATATTTGTCTTTCTCTGTCTGACTTATTTCACTTAGTGTAATACCCTCTAGATCCATCCATGTTGTTGCAAATGGCAAGGTTTCATTCAGCAGATAAGTTTCTAAATAGCATGCTCCACTAAAAGGAACTAGGGTGCCCTAAAAAAATGATTAGTTCTAGAGCTGGAGCAAAGAAAGCACAAAATGAGTATGTAACTTTTTGTTCCAATTTTTTTTTTTTATCAGAATGCAAAGTAGTATTCAAAGAATTATGGAAACATGCCAAAAGGACATAGGAGACAGCCTGAAGGGGCTCCCACTGGCCAAATATAGGACAGTTTGAGAATCAAAATCGTGATTGTAACAAGTAATAATCCATCAAATGAAATAAGAAACCTTAAGTCCATACCGATACAAATTGACAGTTGATAAGGAGTAATACATTTACACTGCCTTAAAGTACCTTCCCCCCAAATACTCCTCTTTGCCCCTAGGTCATAACTTTACAGTGAAGAAGCCAAACATGCGCCTCATCAAGGAACTGAAGAGCACAACATCAGTAATACAGCAAACTGAGATTATGTGCCACCTGATAGGATGCAAAAAAGAACATTACTTCTATTATGTTCCTGTCAAATCTATATTCACTGAATGCAACCACCAGGAAATACCAGATAAACTCAAACTGAGGGAAATCTTAAGAGGACAGGTTGCCTATAATTATCAAAAGTATCAAATCAAGGTCATGAAAATCAAAGAGAAACTGAGGAACTGTTTCAGAGTAAAAAAACACTAAAAGGGTGCCTGGGTGGCTCAGTTGGTTAAGCGACTGCCTTCGGCTCAGGTCATGATCCTGGAGTCCCTGGATCGAGTCCCGCATCGGGCTCCCTGCTCAGCGGGGAGCCTGCTTCTCCCTCTGACCCTCCCCCCTCTCATGTGCTCTCTCTCATTCTCTCTCTCTCAAATAAATAAATAAAATCTTAAAAAAAAAAAAAAACACTAAAAGATGTGACATCTAAACACAACATGTGATTCTAAATGTTTTGCTCTAACAAACATTATTGAGAGGATGGGCAAAACCTGAATGGGGACTGAGGACTGAAGGGAAATAATATATCAATGTCAATTTCCCAATTTTGATCTCTATATTTTGGTTGTGTTGGAGGATGTCCTTGATTATAAGAAATGCACACTGAAGTATTACACAATGAAGACAGATGAGGTTCACAGATGCCTGAAGTAATCAAAATTTGTATTTCCAATTGTGACTATCTCAAAAATTAAAACAATTATTTAGAAAATGAAGTGGGTGAAAGAAGGAAAAATTGAAGGGAAAAAAGCATGGTTACTGATTAATGAAATTAAATGCAACTTTTCATCAATCTCTTGGTCCTACTCATCATTTCTTAAGAATGGTGATAATTAGTCAAACACTTGTGATACAAAATGAAAAATCAAAAAAACAAACAAAAAATAAATCCCAACACTTTTTTATTGTATTCACTTCCAATTTTAAAGATCACAGTATTCTGCATTATTTTAAATTAACATTTCTTACTTTCTGTTTTCATGATTTTAATTTTTACTTTATTATATCATCTCTAATTTGAGTTAAGTAGTTTTCCAACATCACGCTACGAAAAATTACATTAAAACAAGTATCATTCTGAAAATTGGCTAGCTTTTATTTTCTGTATGTTTAACAGTTTAACAACTTCCACTTTCACACTTATATACAATTTTTTAAAAGATTTTATTTATTAGAGAGCGAGCGAGAGGACACAAGCAAGTGTGGGGGGGGCAGACGGAGAAGCAGAGTCACCACTGAGCAAGGAGCCAACGAGGGGCTTGATCCCAGGACCCTGCAATCATGACCTGAGCCGAAGGCAAACGCTTAACCGACTGAGCCAACCAGGCACCCCCTTTTCTTATACCTTTTAACAGCACTTTTAGGCCATACAGATTTTTATGTATCAGGTAATGTACAAAGTGCCCAACATCCAGTTTCCAAAGAATCATCATCTTTGAGAACAGTATATGAATAATTATTTGAAAATTTTATACCGCTGTTTTTCAAAACTATGCGCTTTATAAAACAACCATGTTTATGGAAAACTGAGCATCCTAATCCTGCTTCAAACTCAGCAGTTTATTTCATCTATTTTACACTGGGCTCCTCCGTAAGAGTTTATTTGGATAAAGGGTTCTACTGCTCTCAAGTTTGAAAACTGATTCAAACTTCCACTTTGAGCTTATAATTAGATGAGGCTGGGGTGGGGGGTCAATTAAAAATAAAAAGACCCAGAACTGATACGTAAGTTAGAATTAGCAGACAAGAACATTATAGTATTAGTAACTGTCTGTCTCTCTCTCTCTCACACACACACACACAAAAGCTAAGTACAGACATGGAAGATAAACGAATAGTGCTGTCCCGGGCGCCTGGGTGGCTCAGTTGGTTAAGCAACTGCCTTCGGCTCAGGTCATGATCCCAAGGTCCTGGGATCGAGTCCCACATCGGGCTCCCGGCTCAGCAGGGAGCCTGCTTCTCCCTCTGACCCTCTCCTCTCTCATGCTGTTTCTCTCTCGCTCGCTCTCCAATAAATAAATAAATAAAATCTTTAAAAAAA